TACAAAGCAAAGTAGCGCACTCCAGCTGTCACACCCTCTTTTCCCCTCATGCCCTCCCCCAGCCGACGTGTTATCCTTTCCTGCGCCAACCCATCATCCGTGCCTCCCTTCCCCTGTCCTCGGTACTTACTTCTTCCATGGACTGTACAAATATACAGTATGTACACTCGCGTTCCCTCCATCTTATCTCGCGACATCTTGTAAATCGGATGTCCTTATATGATGAAAATGGAGCTCAAACGGAATGAAAACAATGCATCGTCAGGCTCCAAGGGAAGTGCAAGCAAACAGCGAGTGATGACGAAAACTTCCTCCACATTATTCCAGCATTTTCGTACCTGTGCACTTGCTCTGCACCAAGTCCGCACTCATGCTCATGTTGACACAGTGTGGGACGTTGTCGCACAGTCGCAGGTAGGACCAGTAGCGACACAACGGGCTCCAACGCTCACAGAATCTATACTCATCTTCATTTATCCTTGGCCTGCTGCTACTGCTGCTGCTGATGCTACTGCCTGTGCTGCCAACCCCACCAGCTGACGTGGTAGAGTTGTTTGCTGCTGCAGAGTCTATGTTGACGTGGCAGTCGATAACGCCATTGCAGACATTAGCCCCTGAAGGACAATCGTTCTTTCCATCGCAAACCTCTGCTGCATCAATATACACGTCAACCCACACACCTCCTTCCGCTTCAATCCCAGGAACAATCAAACCCAGCAGAAGCGTGAGAAGCATCGTCGACACTGCTAACAACGGACTGAACGGTATATTTCGATGCGCCATTATCAAGATCAATGGCTGCCATCTCGTGATGGCGATTTCAATCCTCGAATGATGGGATTATGGCGATTCTTGCTCAGCAATGATGGCCTCGACGTTTGAAAATGACTCGAACTGTCGAATATTCACGCACGCGTCACGATGATGTGACCTTCTATAAATGGTAGTAATAGAGGACACGAATTTTAGGATGCTGCGCCGCGCGCCGCGGTCTGAGTAATGGGCAGAAATTAGATTTCGAGCTCACTACTATTAGGGAGAAAAAGCTCTGCGATAATCTGGAGCAGCATTGCGTGCTAAATGTTGTGCCGTGGCGCAAAAAGTTTTTTTTCGTGGCGAATTCGCTGTTAAAAAGCAGGTCGAGCTCGGCGACGTTGCCGAGAGTTCGCACAAACATTTCTTGCACTACTATACTACCCATTACGTAGGACGCGATTTATCGTTACAGTCACGTGGCAGAAATAAAGCGTCGAGCGCCACTATCAGAAGAGAAATGAAGGGCGATGATATCAGTTTTTTGTGTTTTCCCTATCCAGAAGCATGAATAAGTTGAATGGGAGGGGGGGGGGGGGAGGAAGAGGGAGTTGGAGCAGAAGCAGGTGGTGTAGTGCTGTTTGAAACCCGTTGGGCCGAGGTGTCCAAAGGTGATTGGAAGGTGTGGGCGGGTCCAAGAATGTACGTAACCGCAGAAAGCCCTACTCAACCATCTCTTGTGTTTATACAGATGTTCTCGCGGAGCAAAACACGCGCCGCGCGGGCTCTTGTGGCAAAACTTGAAAACCCCGGGCAAACGGGACCTTATAGTCCCAAATTAAGTAAAATTGCATTGAAAGCGGTTTTTATTCGCTACTGGTTTTTAAATTGTGACCGCGCTTGCTTCAACTTCGCATCGCACGGTTCTCCCCTATGGTCAAAGTCGCTTGACCGACGGGCAGAAATACACAAAATCCTTACTGTTTGATGCCATTATTTACGGGATTCTTATTTTTTTAAATGAAGGTCAGCGCGCTTCAAGAGATGTCATCTTCAAGCTTGGTGAAAAACACGCGATGAGATGAAGAAGCTAACGAGAAATATAAAAAACCGCTTTCACGTATTCAATTGGTTGACCCGATTGCAGGTTGGGTTCAATTCGAGTCCTCTGATTGGATACGGAGCTGATTTCGTGCACGGAACAGTTAACAACCCTGTCATGCGGCAAAGATTCCCGCCAAAAGGGCTTGTAGAGGAGGGGCTACATCTAGGAATTATAGGCAAAAGCTCCTCGTTTCGTAAAAGGGATCGTTTTAGCGCGGGCTCTTAAGCGAGAACATCTGTATTAGACCGCTCTGGCTTGGCTCCAAAAATCAATTCTCACCAGGTGGGTCACTAGGAAAAAATCACCGAGAATGTGCCACCCCGGCAACAATAATTCCTGCCACCACGTGCTGAAATGTTGCCAGAATGTGCGCCACCGTGGCAATTTCTCTAGGCACGTCAGTGAGGTTTGCTTTTGGCGCGTTAGTGGCGTGGCGATCCCACTAGAAATTGCATAGATTCAATGCTTAGGTTTGGATTTTGCCTACTCACAATTAGGACGTGGGCCCAATCAAGTTTGATCGCTTCGATCATACGCGATCAATAATTTCCAGGAAGCCTGGACTGGAAGCCAATTTGAGGCAATCGGGGGCAATCAGCTGATCGCGATCAACTGATTGCCCCAACTCGAACAGACCCAATTTTCACCCCAATCAGAGCCGATTTTTCTCGATCACAGGCAATCACTCGATTGCATGTGATCGGGGCCCACAGCGACGTTTGCGAGTAGTTACAATGTTGCACTTATAGGGAAACTAATATTTTCGCGATGTGGCATCTGGTCGCCAATCTCGCTGGAATGGGGACGAAAATGCAAGGTAAATGCTTCGCGCTTGCTGAGCATGCGCTAAAAAGCTTCCACGAAATACGACTCTGATCGGGCGGCTCGCGCACTGCGATCACAAGCAACCCGATCAGATCAGTCGCGATCAAACTCGATTGGGCCCACGTCCTTAGCAGTGTAGAAAAATTCAAAACCCTTCTGAGCAGTGTGCCCTTCTGATGGATCAGTGTAACTTGAAGTTTTGAAAACTTTACCCACAGGCATTAGTGTAGGTATATTTTTTACCCTGATTGTACTTTAGGCAGCTCAATATGTGATAGCAGCAACCAAGCTCAATTGCGCAAGATTACTAAGTTGGGCGCTGGTGGGTGGGAGTTGTGATGTGAACTCAAAAGTCGAGCGCAGTGGCTTGTCTGGTTTCGCTGCAACACTTGTATTTTTCGCCGAGTCAGCAAGCTTCCCGGGGGGAACGTGTGTTTGGGGACCTCGAGTCCCAAATTTCCGAGTCGAGAAAGTTGAAGTTCTTGCAGTGAGTGCAGCTTCGACCAATCAGGTAGGTTGCAAGCAGACACGGAGTGACGCGGTGTCGGTTGTCAGAACTCACGTGTGCTGGCGTCATAGTGCATCACGACGAAATTGGGTGTATCGTTACGAAATTTCTAGGAAACTTCTTCTCGATAAGTAGGGGAGGGGGGGGGGGGGAGGGGAGGGGGAGGGGGGGGGGGGAGGGGAGGGGGAGGGGGGGGGGGGGGGGGTGGGTTGGTTCCCTGTACGCTCTTCAGGGTAATATTCGCTAAGGGTAAAGTTACCCCAGAGCATCAGTGTGGCCTAAATCATTACACTTACATATCAGTGTAACCCTAATCCCCCCAAAAAATACCCAAACCCATCAGTGCAGGCCCTAAATTTCACCCTTCTAATCAGTATAGCAGTGTAAATTACACTAATAGCGAGAGCCCTGCATAGAACGGCCAAGTGGCAATTTGAACAGACAAAAAATAGTTGGGTCCTCTTATACTAAGTTGGACTGAATTTGGGGTGGGCATATAACTGGCAACTAGCGAAAAGCCCATTCGTTTGATTGTGACATGGGCCTGGGCTTTTCTATTGGGGGGATGACGGTAAGCTTGGTGAATAAGATGGCTGGTGAAAAAAAAGGATCTGTCGCCGTACATTTGTCTCGTGCGCGCATAAAGTTACTCTTTGATAAACCTACGGGCATATCCTAGGAATGACGGCATGAAAAAGAACAAAGAATACGAAAAAGGAAGCTTCAACCCTACTGTTCCTCCTTATACGGTAACCAGCTCCAGAGTCTTCGATTGACCTGCCTTGCCTCTCCACTCAACTCCCCCAAGCTCACCAGCTCAGCTCCCATCAGTCCCTCCTGATCCCAATCCTCCTGCTGCTGTTCCACCATGTAACCTTGAGCCGACTGCAAAAATGCCAGCTCAGCTCTCACAGGCGCCTCCTTGCCCTGCCCCTCTTCTCTCCCTCTCTTTTGTCGCCCTGTAACCTTATCCCACAGCATCCCAGTGACAACGCCAGCTGAATTTCGCACGATCCCTAAGATGGCTCCTGCCCTGCTTTTCGTCCCTCTCTGCCTGTGACGCCCTTTGATCTTATCCCACCGTATCCCAGCGACAACGCCTGCTAGCCCAGTTTCACACGTTGCCTAAGATGATTCCTGCCCTGCTTTTCGTCTCCCTCTGCCTGTGACGCCCTTCAATCTTATCCCACCCTGCCCCTGCGGAAACACCAGCTGAGATCTCACAAATGTATCTTGCCCTGCTTTGAATTCACCCTCTGCTTTTACACCGTGGTTACCTGGTTACCTGGTCCCACCTTACCCTGCAAGCCCGCCAGCTCAGCTCTCATCGCGCCTTCCTGATCCAGGACTTCTCTCTGCTGTTATGCCGTGTAACCAGCTACAGCTTCTCTCACAACTGTCACGCCGCGTAACCTTGTCCCACCTTACCCTACTCCCCCTGCAAGCTCGCCAGCTCACCCTCACCGCTCCCTCTTGCCCCGGCTTCTCTCTCTGCTGTTACACCGTGTAACCAGCTCCAGTTTCTCCTACTGTCACTTTCGAAGCGCCTAAAAATTACCTCACAAGCCCTCCTGCTCCGGCTTCTCCCTCTGCCGTTACACCGTTTAACTAGCTGCAGTTTTTGCTGCTACTGTCACGCGTTGCAACCCTGTCCCACCCCACCATTCTACCCCTGCAAGCTCGCCAGCTCAGCTCTCACCGCTGCCTCCTGCTCCAGCTTCTCCCTCTGTGCTGCATCCAGCCCCGCCGTGTAACCACCTCCAGCTTCTCCCACTACTGCTGTGCTGTGTAATGTTGTCCCACGCTACCCTACCCCTGCAAGCTCGCCAGCTCAGCTCTCACTGCTGTCTCCTGCCCCAGCTTCTCCAGCTGTGCTGCATCCAGCCCAGCTGTGCTGCCCCCCGCGGCTGCCACACGCGCCTTGAGCTCCTCAATCTGTCGCAGCCGCTTCCCCAGGTTGCGCACTCTCTTAGCTTTCTCCGCTGCCTCGTCCGCGCCTTGTCCTGCAAGGGTGGAAGAGGGGAGGAGAGGAAAGAATGAGCTAGTCTGTGCTGCTCCACGCTGCTGCCACCCGCGCCTTCAGCTCCTCAATCTGCCGCAGCCGCTTCCCCAGATTGCGCACTCTCTTCGCCTTCTCTGCTGCCTCATCTGCCCCGCTGCCTTGCCCTGCATAGGCGAAAACGGATGGAGGAAAGAAGTGAATCAACATGGAATCAGGCCTCTGATCGGCTGAAGCCAGTACCCCAATTCTTGCACCTACCTTGCCCTCTCCGTTGCCTATATAACTAGTGAGCACTTCGGTACCAGGTTGATATGCAAAGTGAAGACAGGGAGATGGTTTTTGACGGAGCAATGGAGTATCGGGGCAGGAAGGTTACCTTGCGGTGCCTGCTGTTGCGGCTGCGCCTGGGGATGGTCGTCAATTCTGAGTGCTGCCACACTGGGAGCCTGCTGGTCTCTCTCACTCGCCTGCTTGCTCTGAGCGGTCTGAGTCACTGGTGGAGCAATGGAGTATCGGGCAGGAAGGTTACCTTGTGCCGCCTGCTGTTGCGGCTGCGCATGATGATGCTGCTGTTGAGGCATCGTCAATGCTGAGGGCTGCCACACTGGGAGCCTGCTGGTTCACTTCACCTGCTTGCTCTCACCCGCCTGCTTGCCTTACTCGCCTCACCGGGAGCCAGCTGAGAGAAGAGACGTTACCTTGTGGCGCCTGCGGTGCCTGCTGCTCCGGCTGTGCCTTGGGGCGGTCGTCAATGCTGAGTGCTGCCATACTAGGAGCCTGCTGGTTCGCCTGCTTGCCTTACTCGCCTCACCGGGAGCCAGCTGAGAGAAGAGACGTTACCTTGTGGCGCCTGCGGTGCCTGCTGCTCCGGCTGTGCCTTGGGGCGGTCGTCAATGCTGAGTGCTGCCATACTAGGAGCCTGCTGGTTCGCCTGCTTGCCTTGACTCGTCTGTAAGGCAGCCCACATGGATTGGATTGGAATGGGGTGAAGCGCACAGGCAGGGTGAATGCATGATATGTGGGATGCATAGTGTGGGTGAGAGCGAGTTTATGCAGTAGATATTAAGCAGTACTTGTTGACAGATACTCTGTTCGACTGATTCATCTGAAAGACCACCTGAAAGGCCACCACCTGAAAGATCACCACCTGAAAGCAAACCTGATCAGGTGAAGCAGCGTCCTTCTTGGCCTTGGCAGCCTCCCTCTTCTTGGCATTCTTCTTGGCGCTCTTGGATAGCTCCGCTGACTCCGCCCTGCCCACAGTGCACAACATACAGCACAGGATTAGGTTTCCTCCTAGACACAGCATGAAGCCAAAGAAAAGGTAATAGTAGGAGCCTCCAACAAGCCTCCCGCTTCTTGGCGTTCTTCTTGGCACTCTTGGATAGCTCCGTTGACTCCGCCCTGCCACACGGTACAGCATGCAGCATGCAGCATACAGCATACATCATGCAGCATACAGCATGCAGCATGCAGCATGCAGCATGCAGCATACAGCATACATCATGCAGCATACAGCATGCAGCATGCAGCATGCAGCATACAGCATACAGTATGCAGCATACAGCATGCAGCATGCAGCATGCAGCATGCAGCATACAGCATACAGCATACAGTATGCAGCATGCAGCATGCAGCATGCAGCATACAGCATACAGTATGCAACATACAGCATGCAGCATGCAGCATGCAGCATGCAGCATACAGCATACAGCATACAGTATGCAGCATGCAGCATGCAGCATGCAGCATGCAGCATACAGCATACATCATGCAGCATACAGCATGCAGCATGCAGCATGCAGCATACAGCATACAGTATGCAGCATACAGCATGCAGCATGCAGCATGCAGCATGCAGCATACAGCATACAGCATACAGTATGCAGCATGCAGCATGCAGCATGCAGCATACAGCATACAGTATGCAGCATACAGCATGCAGCATGCAGCATGCAGCATGCAGCATACAGCATACAGCATACAGTATGCAGCATGCAGCATGCAGCATGCAGCAGAGAAAGGGGTGATGTTTAGGTGCCTCAGGCAGGCCTCCCGCTTCTTGGTGTCTTCTTGGCACTCTTGGATAGCTCCGCTGACTCCGCGCTGCACAGAGAAAGAAGGGTGCACAGCGCAGCAGCGGCAGGATGTGCACAGCAGAGTGGGTGGGAACGCACGCATTTGCATGCATGTCGCCCATAGATTAATGGGCGACATGCAGTCCCTAGATGCACCCGAGAGCGGAAGCGTGCATTGAGTTGAATTTTGAGGCACCTCAAAATTCAACTCAGAATTCAACTCATTTTGAGGCGCCTCAACATTCAACTCGGTGCTATAGATTAATGGGCGACATGCAGTACCTAGATGCATGCACCCGAGAGTGGAAGCTGCTACCAGGGGCTCACCCGTGGGAACAATGTACTTTGTTGGAGCGCCTATCTTGTGTGGGAATCACACAGCCTCACTACCTTGCTACAGCTTTTCCGTATATGCATTTTTCCAATTCCCGTGAGGAGATGGTGGAGTGGAGCTCACCCGGGCGGGATGTACTTCTTTGGAGCACCTACATTGTGCGGCTTGTCCTCCTCGCCTGACATCTGAGTCGACTCAAAAGAGTGCTCCTAGGGGGTCATCCGGGTGCGGGAGCACTTGTTTGGAGCGCCTATCGTGTGCCTCTTGTCATCCCCACCTGGCACCTGAGTCGACTCAAGACTAAAAAGCCCAGTTATTGCCTGAGTCGACAAAGAAGTTCAATTTGTTTGGGTGTGCATCCAAGATCTTACCCGGGAGGGATGTACTTCTTTGGCGCGCCTATCTTGTGCGGCTTGTCATCCTCTCCTGACATCTGCCATGTGACAAGAAAGGGAGGGAGGTGACAATAACGGAGGGAGGTGACAATAATGGAGGAGGGTGACAATAAGGGAGGGAGGTGAAAATAAGGGAGGGAGGTGACAATAAGGGAGGGAGGTGACAATAAAGGAGGGAGGTGACCATAAGGGAGGTGGCAGTGAGGGAGGCGGTGATTAGGGACCGTAAGGAAGGTGGTAAGTAGATCTGGTGGGAATACGAAACATGGTATTGGTAAGTTAAGTGAAAAAAAAGGAGATGGTGATTAGGGATGTGACCCAAAGGGAGGTGGTAAGAAAATCTGGTGGAAATACGGGACATGGCATTGATGAGGGAGGTGGCAATGAGGGAGGCGGGTGTATAGTGAGCGGCAATAAAGGGAGCGGCAACAAACAGAACGGAAATAAAGGGAGCGGCAATAAGGAAGGTGGCAATAAGGGATGTGACAGTAAGGGATGTGGCAACAACGGATGTGACAGCCAAGGATGTGGTGATTTACGGATGTGACAGTAAGGGATGTGGCAGTAAAGGAGAGGGCAACAGCAGGGACAGGGCATGCAAAGAACCTGGACTTGGGAGGGACCATATACACCCATACACCACCACACGTGAACTCCATTCGAGTCAGCTTAGAAATGAGTGGTTCATGGGTGGAGACTTGGGATGGGATGCGAAAATACACCACCCATGAACTAGCTGCCACGCGGGCACCGACAACAACTGCCACTGCCAGATGGCGACCAGCAGCAATTGCAACGTGGCGACCAGCAGCAATTGCCACGTGGCGACCAGCAGCAATTGCCACATGGCGACCAGCAGCAATTGCCACATGGCGACCAGCAGCAAATGCCACATGGCGACCAGCAGCAAATGCCACGTGGCGACCAGCAAGAAATGCCACGTGGCGATCAGGAGCAAATGCCACGTGGCGACCAGCAGCAATTGCCAGATGGCGACAAACAGGAGTTGCCACGCGGCAGCTGACCTGTGCTCGGAAGGTAGAGGTCATGAGGGCCGCGTTGGGTGGGCGGTAGGGCGCCGGCTTGGCTGCTGGGGGTTGCACTGGTGTGGCTGATGGGGAGGGGAAAGCAAGGAAGAAGAGGGAGAGGAAACAAAGCAGGCAGCCGGGAAGGGCATGTGGCATGAGGGGATGGAGGAGGAAGGAAGGAGGAAGATATTGGCTGAGACAAGAGCAGGTATCAATGGTACAGCACACTGGTTTCAAGCACAACGTGCATGACAGGATGCAGGCTGGGAGGGGGGGAAGGGGGACCGTGCAAGGCAGGCAAGGCAGACAGGTAGAGTGGAACGTGCCAGGCAGGCAAGACGGGCAAGGCAGGCAGGGAAGGGGGACCGTGCTAGGCACACCTTGGTCTTTTTTGGCGGAGCGGGGTGAGGGAGGGCGATCGGCATACGTGCCCTCGGGTGCTGGCGCCCACTCCGCCTGGTGAGGGGAAGGGAGGGGGGGAAATTGGAGCAGGGGAACTGTGATGAGGAGTGGAAGAGGAGGGGTGGAAGGCTGTGATCTTGGTGTGAGGAGTTAAGAAGGGAGGGCGGTCTGCATACACGCCCTCTGGTGCTGGCGCCCACTCCGCCTGATGAGAGGGCAGGTTGGGGAAGGAAGGGAGATTGCAATGAGGGAGTGTGCTGCCAAGGAAATGAGAGGAGTGTCATGTCATGTGTGTGTGGGCTAGTGTGTACTCGAGCAAAGTGTGGTTGGGATGGCTGTATGCAGTGGGTGGGGAGGCAGGGTGATTTTCAGGGTGTGAAAAGAAGACCGATTCTATTTTAAAACGCCACCTAAACATTCTACCAGTTGAATTTAAAAAAATTAACTGCGGGAAGCACACAAATGGCAGGTGGGAAGCAGGTGTAGTAGACTACGAGAGAGTTGGAGCTCAAAATGAGCTCCAACTCTCTGGATGATAGCATTATGATTGTTGCGGCGGGGTGCCGCATTTGAGTCGACTTTAAATCTCAAAATGAGCTCCAACTCTCTTAATTTTTGAGAGGTGCCGCGTCGCGCGGGGTGCCGCTCCAGAGAGTTGGAGCTCATTTTGAGATTTTTGGTTCATGATACTTGTTGCGCAGGGTGCCGCGGCAAACCCCGTTCGGTTCGTCATGAACCAAAAATAGAACTGAAGTGGTTCATTCCGGCGCGGCTCGGCCAATAAATGACAACGGACCAGCCGTACCGACAAACTGGCTGGCCAAAACGCGGTTCGGTTTGGGTAACGAACCGAACCGCGCCGACCGGACCAAACTGCGGTTCGTCTGGTGCATATCTAATCATCATCATCCTCCAGTGTGAAAGGTAGGTCAGGAAGAGAAATGGATGGAGGGGGGTCGATGTGCTATTCTGCAGTTGACGAATAATGTATGATCAATCTCGTGTTGGAGAAGCAGAAGATACATTCTTGTGTGGCACGGGCGTGCAGCCTTTGAAGGTAGAGCAGGGCAGAGGTAAGGGCGTGTGGCACCTGGTAGAGCAGCCCATAGGGTCGGTGTAGCAGCAGTCTAGTTTTGAGGCGCCTCAACACTAGACTTCTCACACGCGGTTTTTGAGGCGCCTCAACACTAGAGTGCATTCTCGTGTGGCACAAGCGTGCCGCCTTTGAAGGTAGAGCAGGGTAGAGGTACCTGGTAGAGCAGGCCATAGGGTCGGTGTAGCAGCAGAGATCCATCGTACTTGAAGACCTTGAAGCTGAGCGGTACCAAGGAGGGGGGGGGGGGGGGGAGGGAGGAGGGAGGGGGGTTGTGGGAGAGGCAGGACGGGATATTTTGAAGAAGCCTCTATAGCCAGTCGGTGCAGCAGCAGTGAGCTATCGTACTCGGAGACCTTGAAGCTCGTGGTACAGGGCCGTGGGGAGAGATACGATATGAGGATACAGTAAGGGAGACTTGTGAAGTGCCTCAATAGTCAGTCATAGCAGCAGCAAAGAGTCATCACACTTGAAGAGATTCAAGTCGAAGTGCGAAGAGGGGAGGGGGAGAGGGACGAAGTGGGGAGAGGGAAGAGGGGGGAAGAGGGGGGATGGGGGGAGAAGGAAGAACGGGGGAGAAAGAAAGATTGGGGAGAGGACATCAGGGGTAACATCAGGGGTAAGAGGTGGTGGAGAGAAGGAGAGGGTCAGATGATGGACTGAAGAATCGGATGAGAGGTGGTGGATGACACGTTCATGGCTGATGAAGCCGCAATGCCCATACAATGCAGCTTGAGATATGGGGCCATCAAACGGCTCACCCCTTGTCCACCTGCAGGCGGGGCGCGGTGGTGGCGACAAGGATGTGCCGGCCCTCGGGGATCCACTCCACTTGGATTCGCTCACTGCACTTGCTAGTTATTGCTCAAGTGTCTATCAGCTCACTCACTCACCCGTTGCCCACTTGAAGGCGGGGGGCTGTGGTGGCGACAAGAATGTGCCGGCCGTTGGGGCACCACTCGGCTGAACTGAACTTGGGTTCGCTCACTTGACAATCTAGATGTTTCTTGAGGTGTGTATCGGCTCACCCGTTGTCCACTTGCAGGCGGGGTGCAGTGGTGGCTACTACAAGGATGTGCCGGCCATCCGGGCTCCACTCTGCTGGGGCTCCAGCACTTCACTAGCTAGATACGCCTGGTAACAACTCACCCGTTATCGACCTGCAGGCGGGGAGCGGTGGTGGCTACAAGAATGTGCCGGCCATCCGGGCTCCACTCGGCTGACACCCCGCACGGCGCCTTGGCCTTTCCCGGTTGCTTCAGCCGAGTGCGCTCCCACACCTCCTGCCAAGAGGGGACAGGGGGACAGGCAGGGATAGGGTGACAGACAGGGCAGGGAAGGGAGAAAGCGTGACGGGGAGGGGGATAGGCTAGGAGAGGGCCACGTCGAAACAGGGTAAGGGACAGGTGGGTAGGCCAGGGCAGAAGTGAAAGGGGGAACCGAGAAGGAGAGGAATGATACACAGCGGCACGGGTATGTGGTGCCCAAGCGGAATGTGTGACTCTGTGAAGCTGACGCCACTCCAAGCAGAGAAGCATAAATAATCTAGAGCTGTGCTTGTATGCGAATGCCGACACAAGGGGTTGGACTTGGGACACGTGTAGCTCACGAGGAGTTAATGCACGCACAGCCTCCCTCCCACTGTCACAAACACACAGCCTCCCTCCCACTGTCACAAACACACAGCCTCCCTCCCACTGTCGCAAACACACAGCCTCCCTCCCACTGTCACAAACACACAGCCTCCCTCCCACTGTCACAAACACACAGCCTCCCTCCCACTGTCACAAACACACAGCCTCCCTCCCACTGTCACCAACGCACACGAGAAATATGACTTCCATTCATCAACACACCCGAAATTGAAGCACGACCCACTCACAACGTCACCGGGAAGATTGCCGAAGCCCGCAAGACAAATAACTGGCGATGGTGGGAAAGGCACGGATCATGGGGTGAGTGGGGAAGGAGGGGAAGAACATCCAGGGCAGCAGCGTGAGTTAAAGGTGGCCTGGTGGGGAATGTATGACAGCAAGGTAGGAACAGAAAGACTTGGTCTAGAAGGTTAGGGAAAGACTAACTACGTATCTAAGAGTGGTGGGAAACGAGACAGTAAGAATAGAAGCATAAGAGGGTTTAACAGACAAACCTTCTTCGGGGAGTGTGTGTGCGCTTACTATGTGCAATGCTGAGAGAGCATGCCGTGTTTAGTCACAAAACGACAAAACCATGCAGTGCAAGCAAGATGTGCTTTGGGTGTGGAACGAATTGGTGAGCGGCTCATCAAAGATGGTTATTGAGACGGTAAAAAAAAAAACAAAAAAAAGCACTTTCATCACGTTTCTTCGGGCATGGGGCGGATTGGTGAGCGGCTCGTCATAGCACCACAGCAATCATACTCATAGCAGCCTTCACCATCCCTCACACTTGACTACTCACATCGGTTGTGTGAGCTGCTGCAGCGAAGTCAAAGAAGGGGTTGCAGCGACTGCTGTTGCACGCACACCCGCCTTCTTCCCACACATACTCTACTCTACCAACCGCCTTCCATCCAACACTCCACCTTCAATCACACACCCAACTACCCACTCACATCGGCCGTGAGGGCTCCAGCGAACCAGGTTGCGCGGGCCAGAACCAAAGTCAAAGAGGGGCTTGCAGCGATTATCGAAGAGTGTGGCCTTGGCTGGCATGACTGGCGGGCGCAGGGTGGGGACAGGAGAAAGGAGGAAAGGAGAGGAAAAGGTCAGGAGGGGTGGGAGAGCACACGCTTGACTGGAAATGGAGGGGCTGTGGAATCCAACGTCAAAGAGGAGCTTGCAGCAACAAAATGTGTGGCTTTGACAAACACGACTGGCAGCAATGGCATCAGGACAATCTTCCTTCTTCTTGCCATCAGGTTGCACTATTCATGTTCTGGTGTGCCTTCGCGCAAGATGAGCTCTGCTGTTTTTGTTCGTCCAAGGTGTGTCCAGCTCATGGCACTGTTTAATGCAGTGAATGAACTAGACACACCTTAGACGAGCAGGAAGAATATGAATAGTGCAAACTGCTGGCAATAAGAAAGAAAGATTTTCTGTAAAGATGAGAGCAGTAGCATTTATTTGGATGCAACTCATGTTCGGTACATGCAAGGCCGGCCAACTGGTGCACGAATCATACCTGAAAAACTGGGGCAAAACGTGGACATGCATGCACCCCACTCACATGTGTGCACCCCACGCACATGCATGCATCCCACTCACATGCATGCATGCATCCCACTCACATGCATGCATCCCACTCACATGCATGCATCCCACTCACATGCATGCACCACATGTGGGTGCCATGTATGTAGATGCTACGACTGCACATGTGTAACACTCACTCACATCCATGCACCACCACAAAGTCCTTCCCATTGGGCGACCGCTGCACGTCGTGAATCCGCGTTTGAGACGTCTCAAAAGTCATGTGGGTGCCATGTGGGTGCCATGTGGGTGCCATGTGGGTGCCATGTGGTTGCCATGTGGGTGCCATGTGGGTACATATGACTGTAAATCGGACACTCACATCCATGCACCACCACAAAGTCCTTCCCATTGGGCGACCACTGCACGTCGTGAATCGGCCCCTCCTTTGCTGCCAACGGAGGGCATGCGCGGAGGGGGCATTGGGAAAGAAAGGGACGGGAAGACAGGCGTGGGGATGCAGGTCTACAGGGTGATCATCTGGAGCGAATGGCTGAGTCGGGAGGAAAGGGGGTATGTCTACAGCCTACAAGCAGAAAACGGTTGCAGCAAGGGATGGCGGTGGTTCTCAATGGCTTTTGAGGCGCCTCAAAAGCCTACAGCGTACAGGCAGAACAAGGTTGCAGCAAGGTATAGCGGTGGTTCTCCATGCTTCCACCCAGGGCACCTGGCTCATCGCCGCATTGGCAAGGCGAAGGAGTTTGCATTATTCACTTCACACTAGGGATGAGCAAGGTGGCAAACACCTGTTCGGTTCGCCTCGAACGTGTTCGAGGCGAACCGAACAGGTTTTGTTTTTCAGCTTAAATCGTTCGCCCGAACGTGTTCGAGGTTCGCCCGAACGTGTTCGTGTTCGTGGCGCTGCTGCAGAACGCCCCGTGGCAAACACGAACGTGTTCGAGGTTCGCCCGAACACGCCTCCACAGGCGAACAGCGAACACCTGTTTTTGCCTAAACTGTTCGCCGAACCGAACAGTGTTCGGTTCGGCAAAAGAGGGTGTTCGAGAAGGGGCGAACACGAACATGTTCGTGTTCGCCCTTTGCTCATCCCTACTTCACACCGCCAAAAAGAGCAGCAATCTCAGTTGAGGTTACAGCAACGGTTCCGACGCAAACACACTCGCACAGCAGCACATACACTCACCAACTGCAACACATACAGTCACATTCACATAGCGGCACATACAACCACACTCACAATGAGGCATGCGCGCACCTTCAAAGCTCCCATCGGCCGCCAGAAAATGCAGCCCCGACTCGCCATAGCACATACAGTCACACACACTCACACAGTAGCGCGTACAGTCAACTCACATAGACTCACACTCACATACAGTCACAATCACATACAGTCACAATCACAAACATCACACTCACATAGTGGCACGGCGCCCTCGAAGCTCCCATCAGCCGCCAGAAAATGCAGCCCCGACTCGCCATAGTAGCTCTGATTGGTCTTGTCCACGTCAGAGTGCGTCCATGCCAGCACAGCAGTGGTCCCCATGTTCCACACCAGCCGCACTGCACTGCACTTGAAGAAGCTGCGTCTCGCTATGGGGGCGGGTGGGGCGGAGGCGGCGGAGGAGGAGGAGGAAGGAGTGGCGCTGTCACGCGTGAAGATGCGCACACTGGCTGGGGCTCCCTGGGGGGGTGGCAGAAAGGAGAGCGGGAGCAAGAGGGAAGGGAGACAAAGGACATAAAGCTGAGCGCCATACAGACTGTCACGCGTGAAGATGCGCACACTGGCTGGGGCTCCCTGGGGGGGAGCATTGCAGAGGGAATGTGGGGCAGGGGAGGCAGAAAGAAGCATGTGTTTAGAAGAAAATGTTACGAAGAAGAGGCATATATAGGGACGACCACGTGGGACGACCACGTGGCCATTGCAACAGCAGAGGAGGAGGACAAAGGGGTTGCGCTATCTCGGGTGATAATTCGCACACTGGCTGGGGCTCCCTGGGGGAAAAGGCAGAGGGGATGTGGAGTGGGGCAAGCAAAGCCACATGTGTTGAGACGCCCCTACACACTGGGACCACACAGGTTTGTTTGTGCAGCCCTCGTGATTACTCCAGACCAGGTGAGCCTCCAGACCAGGTGAGCCTGTCTGGTTCACATGGACCAGGTGAGCCTGTCTGGTTCACATGGACCAGGTGAGCCTGTCTGGTTCACATGGACCAGGTGAGCCTGTCTGGTTCACATGGACCAGGTGAGCCTGTCTGGTTCACATGGACCAGGTGAGCCTGTCTGGTTCACATGGACCAGGTGAGCCTGACGGCATTTGTAGTCACACACAGGGATCATGATGGCGTTTGAGTCGACTCCAAATGGAGCAAAAACGGCAACATGGGACGGGGGCGGCGTGAGATGATGCCAGATGCAGCACATTGCTTACAGTTCAAAGAAGCACTGCACTGTGTGTGCGCACACAGCAAACTGTAAGCAATACACGTACCTTGGCTTCCGGAGCGAACACAGCGATGCGAGACGGCGGCGAGGGTGCCAGCCAGTTGTAACTCACTCAATGGTGTACAGTTCTATTCTACATGGTGTACCATGCACAGACTGCAGCATCCACACTCACACACACACAAACGCACCTTGGCCTCGGGAGCAAACACAGCGATGTGGGATGGGGGAGATGGCGCCAGCTGTGCTGACGTCATCCCGGGCACCTTGAGCCGGGCGGCCACGCCGGCCGCCAGGTCAGCGCCGGTGAACAGTTGCACCTCGCCGTTTACCGGGCGGCAAGCCACGGACTCATCTGCGCTGAACTGCACGCTGGGCCTGTGGGGGAAAAAAGGGGTGTGTGCAGGTGAGGGTGATTATGCAGAACAACTCAAACGGGGCTTGTGCCGATGAGTCCATCCAGGGTTTAGGGGTTGTGCTGTGTGAAAAAGTGTGCCCTGTGCACTTGTTTCATTCAACCACCACCTCCCCATCGCTCCATCCCCTCACTTCACCATACACACCCTATCACATCTCTCGCTCATCGTGCTTGCATGCAGCTAAACCCATCCGCAGCGTCCCGCACTGTAAGTCCGTTGCACTCCCATATCCCTCCCCTCCACCACCTCCCCATCAGATTCAGCCATTCAGCCACTCCATTATCCCCTGTCGTTGTGCATGCTCGTTCGTGCATGCTCGTTCGTGCATGCTCGTTCGTGCATGCTCGTTCGTGCATGCACCCACTCAACCACCCATGCCATGCCACCATGCAACCACCCACCATGCACTGCACACACACACCCATCAACTCCTTTCCTCACCATCCACCCCCCACCCACCATGCGGCAGAGTTGAAAGTCTTCTGCATCTGCTGCCACATCACCTCCCAGTCGCTCACCCAACCCAACCGCTCCCTCCCCATAGCCCCCCCACGCATAGCCCCCGCCATCCATATCCCTCCCCCCACCCACCCACCATGCGGCAGAGTTGAAAGTCTTCTGCACCTGCCGCCACACCACCTCCCCATCGCTCACCCGCCGCACCATCAGGTTGGGCTCCGCCTGCCCGCCCCCCGCTGGTGCTGAGGGGCGTTGAAACACCTGCAGTGGTGAGTGGGGGGTTGAAGCGGGAGGAGGGAACAGAGGGTTCAGCACACACACACACACCCGTTGCACCGTCAGATTGGGCTCTGCCTGCCCTCCCCCTGCTGGTGCTGAGGGGCGTTGAAACACCTGCGGTGGGAGGGGAGGAAGAGGGGGGTTGAATGGAAGAAGAATAGAGGGTCAACACAGAGCCACCGCCGCACCGTCAGATTGCTCTCTGCCTGCCCGCCCCCTGCAGGGGGTGGTGACGGCCGCTGAAACACCTGCGGTGGAAGTGGGGGGAACAGGGAAGAGGGGAATAGGAGGTTCAACGCATGCACACGCTCACCCGCCGCACCGTCAGATTGCTCTCTGCCTGCCCGCCCCCTGCAGGGGGTGGTGACGGCCGCTGAAACACCTGCCATGGTGGGGGAGGGGCGGAGGGGGGGAATGGGTAGAGGAACAGTGGGGTGGGATCAGCACAGTCAGATTGGGCTCCGGCTGCTGCCCACACCCCACTGGTGCTGAGGGGCGTTGAAACACCTGCCATGGGGGGAAGAGAGAGGGGGAGTGAAGAAGAAAAGAGGGTCAACACAGAGACACCGCCGCACCGCCTGATTGCTCACCACCTGCCCGCCCCCGATGCTGGTGCTGCTGGTGTAGTGTAGTGTAGGCCACTGAAACAGCTGCGGTGGGCTGGCTGGTTAACAAGGCACGGCAAGTGAGGGATAACACACAGACGGCCTCACAAAAAGCTGATGGTGGTGGTGGGGAGGAGAGGCGTGCCATGCAAGTGACAAAGTCGTGTGCTGCTGTCTGCATGTGCCGAGAGGTCTAAAGAATTGCAGAGAGGCAATAGCAATGCTCTGCACAATGCAGGCAAACATCCAGACAGCACGCACAGGGGCGCACCTGCCACCTGCCACCTGCCACGAATCCTTACATGCGTCAAATTCTCAAAAGTGACTACAGCTTTAGAATTCTCACAAGTGCCACCCACCTGCAGATAGGAGCCCTTGGGCGAGACGGCGAGCGCCTGCACACCCTCCAGAGGCATGCAGCCGCACACAAGCTGCATACCACCTGCTGGCTGCTGGCACAGCTGAGACGCCTCACCAACACCTGTCACCTGCCATGCCATGCTGCCAGCATACGTGCCAGCATACCTGCAGGTACGAGCCCTTGGGCGAGACGGCTAGCGCCTGCACGCCCTCCAGAGGCATGCAGCCGCACACACCTGCCACCTGCTGGCTGCTGGCACAGCTGAGACTGAGACGAGACGCCTCACCAACACCTGTCATCACCTGCCATGCCATGCTGCAAGCATACGTGCCAGCATACCTGCAGGTACGAGCCCTTGGGTGAGAAGGAGCACCATTTGGTGGGAGACATTACGTGGCAGCAGTTCGATAGGCAAAAATTGTATTGTTCAGTGGTTTCAGGCGTAAAAGCCTGGTTGTAGAAAGGTTTCTTGTGTAAATCAAGTGGTGGTAACTAGTTTCGGCGTAGTCGCCTTCGTCAGACCACAAGAAAAAAAATGAGCCCCCAAGGTTTATATACACCCCAGGCTGACTCGGCTACCCTACAGCAACCTGAATCAGGCTCAAAAAATGAAATTCTACAGTAAAACTAACTTCAGCACTTACGAGCAGAAACTAAAAAGCTTCCAACTCTCTTAGGCAATTTCCATGCCAAGATCGCCCTCCGTCCTGTAAAAATGTCGCGTGACATTATATCCAGGTGACTTTTGAGTCGACTCAAAAGTCATACGTGCCAGCATACCTGCAGGTACGAGCCCTTGGGTGAGAAGGCGAGAGCCTGCACGCCCTCCAGAGGCATGTGTAGCCGCTGCTCGCCGGACGGCACGTGAATGAGACGAACGCCACCGCCCGCTGCTGCGACGGCCACGAGGGTCCCATCCGGGCTGAACTTGGCCTGCGAGCAGGGCACGCTGAGAAGGGTGAAGGGGTTGAAGGGGGAGGGAAGGGGGGGTGAGAGCGGGGGTAAGTGAAAGGAGTGGGGGAAGCGGGGGGTGAGCTTGGCCTGTTAGCCACGAGGGTCCCATCGGGGCTGAACTTGGCCTGGAGCAGGGCAGGCTGGGAAGAGGGGAAGGGGGAAGGAGGTGTGGGGGGAAGGCGGGGGAGGATAGGGGGAAGTGGGGGTAAGAGAAGGAGGTGGGGGGGGGAAGGCGGGGGGGGATAGGGGGAAGTGGGGGTAAGAGAAGGAGGTGGGGGGAGAAGGCGGGGGAGGATAGGGGGAAGTGGGGGTAAGAGAAGGAGTTGGGGGGGGGAAGGCGGGGGGGGATAGGGGGAAGTGGGGGTAAGAGAAGGAGGTGGGGGGAGAAGGCGGGGGAGGATAGGGGGAAGTGGGGGTAAGAGAAGGAGGTGGGGGGGGAAGACGGGGGGGGATAGGGGGAAGTGGGGGTAAGAGAAGGAGGTGGGGGGAGAAGGTGGGGGAGGATAGGGGGAAGCGGGGGTAAGAGAAGGAGGTGGGGGGAGAAGGCGGGGGAGGATAGGGGGAAGTGGGGTTAAGAGAAGGAGGTGGGGGGGGAAGACGGGAGGGGATAGGGGGAAGTGGGGGTAAGAGAAGGAGGTGGGGGGAGAAGGTGGGGGAGGATAGGGGGAAGTGGGGGTAAGAGAAGGAGGTGGGGGGGAAGGCGGGGGAGGATAGGGGGAAGTGGGGGTAAGAGAAGGAGGTGAGGGGAGAAGGCGGGGGAGGATAGGGGGAAGTGGGGGTAAGAGAAGGAGGTGGGGGGAGAAGGCGGGGGAGGATAGGGGGAAGTGGGGGTAAGAGAAGGAGGTGGGGGGGGAAGACGGGGGGGGATAGGGGGAAGTGGGGGTAAGAGAAGGAGGTGGGGGGAGAAGGTGGGGGAGGATAGGGGGAAGTGGGGGTAAGAGAAGGAGGTGGGGGGGGAAGGCGGGGGAGGATAGGGGGAAGTGGGGGTAAGAGAAGGAGGTGAGGGGAGAAGGCGGGGGAGGATAGGGGGAAGTGGGGGTAAGAGAAGGAGGTGGGGGGGGGAGAGAACGACCTTGGCCTGTGAGCCACGAGGCTGAATTTAGCTTGCGAGCAGAGCAGGGCATGCTGGAGAGGGGGGGGAGGGTGGAGGGGGGGAGGAGGGGGGGGGGGTGGTGAGAGTCGGGATAGGAGAAGAGGGGGTGACCTTGACTTGTGGGCCACGAGGCTGCCATTTGGGCTGAACTTGGCCTGCGAGCAGGGCAGACTGGGAAGGGAAACGGGAAGAGGAGAGGAAGAGGGAGAATGATCAGGTAGTGGGAGGCCTGGGTGGCTTTTGTCTTTGGGTGACTTTGGGGCACCTCAAAACTACAGGAAAAGCCGAGAGGGAAGAATACAGGAAAAGGCTTTCGGGTTCAGGGTTTAACAGAGGGACTCGGATTGCGGGGACACAAGGGGAATTTGCAGGGAAGACAGCAGTGAGCAACAGGAGACACATTGTATACAAGGAAAGGGTGATGGCTCGGAAAACCCGAGACCCGAACAAGGAAAGGGTGATGGGTTTCGGGTTCAATCGGGGGTCAAAGACCGGTGCTGTGCTGAGGCGCCTCAGAAATATTTTTGAGTGAAGGACAAGGGCGGTGCTGATGTGGCATGCGTTGACGTGAGTGAGGGGGTGGGACGGTGGTGGAACTGATGGCTTGGGTCAAGCGCGGTGGATGTCGGTATTACAAGCCATAAGGTGGATGTTGGGTTCTGCCATAAGGTGCATGGCAGGGGAGAGCAGAGAGAGGCAGACGTGAAATGTGTGCTTCTAAGAAGTGTGACTACCCGACGAGTGTGACTATCGGACAAAATCGATTATACTCACTTCTGAACGGCGGCGATTGGGTCGACCTGCGCTGCAGTCACATGAGACAATAGCGAGAGGCCCTGCTTGTCGCGCGCTGCGACGGAGACGTGCAAGGAGGGAGCGGAGGGGATGGCGGAGTGGAAGGGGAGAGAACGTGGGGAAGACGATGGCGTATGGTGAGTTTCCAATTGCGGGAGAACGGTACTAATGAGGAGGCGGTACATCGAAATCCACTTCACCACGACACGTTAGTGCTGCAAACGACGCGGAACATCACGCGGACACGCGATGAGGACACTAGACGCTGGAGTGAAGAATTGCATTCGATGTGAGCGGCGTTCGCGAGAGGCGACGGTGGCTCCACTGGCAGCAGCGAGAGTTTTCGGACGTCTCAAAGTTTGAGGCGTTCCGAGACATCTCAAAACAGGTTCGCGAGAGGCGACGATGGCCCCGCTGGCAGTAGCGAGAGGAACTTTGCGACGTCTTCAAGAGGCGAGAGGACGTCGCTCGGCTGTGCGACAGGACGAATGTATTGCGCTGTCTAACGACGCTTTGCGACGTGAAACGACTGCGGGGCCGAGGAACTCACTGAGAATCGTGGGCGGGGGCGCTGCCGGATGGCTGTCAGGCGATTCGGCAGCCATTGGGAAAAACGGGAAGAGTACCGAGATGAGGAGAAACGGCGAGGATGTGCGTATGGAGGACCAGCCAGGAAGTGCCAAAGTTATATCCTATAGGGTGAGTGCGATAAGGTACAAGAAGCACACGTTCTCATGTGAGTTTTGTGCAAAACTAAATACCTTCCACTTTGTGCATGAAGGCGACCACGACTACAAGTATGGTCAATGATATAATACATCAGGAAATTTTCGCAAATATAATAGGAGTTGGCCAGATTTACTTTTCCAAACTCTACATTCGAAGAGCATTTGACGTACGGTAGTAGAAAAGAGACATTCTCATATCGACACAAATGTCTCGATCATTTTGTGACACCCAAATTCAGCATAAACTGTATTGTTGTGTCCCAAACTTGCGTCGCCCTATTGTGATTTAAGGTGTATTTTTCATTGGTTAGCGTGAACCGCGCTAAGTCGAGGACGAGTTGCACGATGCCCCGTCAGATTCAATAATCTGCGCGCGGTTCGAAATGTTAGGGTCTCGTCCGGCCCGTCCACATGCACCTGGACACCTCACACAATGCCAATTTCACGCGCGAAAAATCTCGCACGTCGAAACCACACTCCTGCCGCGCTGTGGAAGAAAATGGTGTACAGTAATTTGTTTCACCCAATCAAATGTGCATACCTGTACATTTCGCCTGGTCGCCTAGTGTCGCGATACATTCGAAGTTTGGGACGCGAGGTTTACCAAATGTGTTGACGCGACTCGGAAAAAGTGCATTGAGATATTTGTATCGATATGAGAATGTAACCTTAGTGATTCAACGCAAGGCCTAGAGACCAGGTGGGCTATGAAACAACCAGACTGACTATTTACAAAAGGTTATAGCCCCAAAGCCAAAGTAGACATCTGGGCGGTTCACCTAATCCCTGTCATTTCGCCGCCAGGTGTGTCTGCATCCATGTGATTGCCTCGCGCCACCACATGGCCTCTGTAACCTCATGCCCCACCCTGATCTCCACATGGAATTGATGCAACTCACATGGAAGGCCACGCCAGATATATGGAGAATGGAGGAGGAGAAAGAGGCTGGTTCCAAGTCACTTCGCTTCCAGGTGTCTCTACAGCCATGTAATTGACTTGCGCCACATTGCCTCCGTCACCTCATGCCCCACCCCCTGCTCCACATGGGACTACCCCAGCTCGCATGGCATGGCATGCAAGGGCGCAGCAGATACAGGAGAGGAGGAGGTCGAGAAATGGGGTGGTGTGGACATGGGCGGTGGGGTGGGGTGGGTGGGTGGAGATGAGAGAAAGGAAGGATAATGGGTTGATGGAGGGATGATAGGATGACGGAAATCCAAAGGGGTTGCTGCAATGTGTAAAAGATGATATTTTTATAATTCTTAGAATTCACTCGAAGAAAATCCCATGAAAACCTCAAGGGTTGCTGCAGTTTGAGAAAGCTAGGGCGAGACACAGCAGAGCGCCACCCACACTTGTAGGTGTGTGGTGCCACTTGGAGCTGCGGAGAGTCACTACACAACGGGAGTGGACTACGGTGGAGGGCACGGAGTTGTGCGGGTGATCGTAGCGTTGTTCTAACGTTCTTACTGCTTGCTATGTTCACAGAGAAAGTTTGCAAGAGTTTCCACTAAGGAAGTTGAAAAGAACAACTTGAAATGAAAAGTTGATAGTACAATTGAGGCATGCAGAACAAAAGGACTAGAAGGCATTCAACTCCTAGCAACGGTGCAATCTGCCAGCGCAGCAGAACAGCGGCTTGCCAACGTTAGCAGAGTGTTCTGCCAACGTTGCACTGCACGCGGTCTGCCAGCACTGCAGTCGCAGGTGACTATCTGCAGTCGCAGGTACCTATCTGCAATCGCAGGTTGTCTATCTGCGCAGATGT